TATATATATATATATATATATATATATATATATTAATCCTATTGGTCAGTCTGTACGTATAGAATGTCGCAATGAAAGCATTACATTATTTTTTACTGCACTGTCAAGAGGTAAAGCAAGCGAAGAACAATTAAAATGTTTAAGTTGCGTGATTTATTATAGGAAAACAGGTGTAATGTATGATAACTAACCACAAAACGGTAATTTATACACTGAAGAAATTCATTGGATTTAATATTCGCCAGTCTTTCTCAAAAAAAAAAAAAAGAATCAGCAAGAGTTAAACTGTTTTATATCTACAGTTATCAATTTAAATAAATTTGTGTGTGTGTGTGTGAAATGTAAATTCTTTTTCTCAGTTTCGGCAAGAACTTGTCGACATATACCATCAACTTCGGAGGCTCTGTGAGGACCTGAGGAGACGAAGGGATAGCTTGTCTGCTGACAGTGGGATACCACCTTCTCCGGATGATATCGAAGTTCACCATATTAGGGTTGGCATGATCAGCGGTGTTTTACATGAACTGAGGCTTCTGATGCAAGAACTTTTAGTCAACTGCTCAGATTCTGTAAGTTTGTAAACGTACTTTCAGGACAAAATCGGGTCAGTTTATCTAAAATTGTTCTGTATGAATTATCCAATGTTTATAGGTTTTTCATTTAGTTGAAAAAGTAGTTTGATTTGTTTTTAAAGCTAACCAAAACTCCAGCAACAAATTACATTTTAATTAAAAAAACGCTTTACTGAAAATGTTTTATTGATTTTATTAAACTAAGATGAAGTTTTCGAATAAATAAACCAATATATTTTATCTCCTAACCTTTCACACCTTGATCTGGTGTGAAATAACATGTTTAACCCCTTCCGTGATTTATTCGAGATAATTCTGGTGTCTTCCATATTTAAAAAAAAAATACCTGAGTTAATTCAGGCTAGCTATTTCTTGTCATAATTTTATTTACCCGAATTTATTCGAATGTTATCAGTGCTCGCTAGATGGCACTAGTGTTTTTTTTTCCCCCTGATCTCAATTGGACTTGCAGAAGCACATCTTATCCATAATAGAAGAAGCCAGGAACAAACCCGAAATCACTGGATCTTCCGTCATAACTTGGTGATCAAGCCTATCTCTTTCTTTTTGCATCTTGACGTTTCATTTTATTTCTCAAAGTCAACTAACTTTCTTCTGAAATATCACACTGATTCTCCACTAGGAAGACTCGCTTTTAAATTCTGTATTAAACTCACCTGACCACAATTTTAGACGTTTTATTAAAAAACTTAATTTCTTTGAAATTAATGTACATTATTAATAAGTAAAGAAATACCATTATGGAAGCGATTTAGGAAAAAGTTATAAAATATGGTACTGTTATTTTATAATTATGACGAGGGTCTATTTTATAACTTTTTTTTTCATTTTGGTGCGATATAAAGCTGTTATTGACTTATTTCTTTAAAAAAGTGGACACATGTACAAAATAAACTTTTTATAAGAAACCTAATTGTAATGAATTTTTGTTAAGAACTTCCTCTTATGACGTTCACAAATCGTGCGAAGTTTCATCCAAATCTAACTTAAACTGTGGGGGTGTTATATAGATTATGTATCATAAACACCGAAGAAAGGCATTTCTATTTTTTTACTGTAGTAAATCTATGTGTAATATACTTATCGAGCATATATGGTACAGAAATATAATAACAGAACAAAAAACTTGTGTTTCGTTAATATATAAGTATAGGCTGTCAAACAGAGAAATAACAAAAAAACTGACTTTCTTGGAGCTGATTTCCAAAGACAGCTTGACACAGAAGATTTCGCGATTACCACAAAGCAGTACCATGTAAACAAACATGACCACGCCTTTGCATTCTTGTTTATTATGCTGTTTCTAACTGTGAATCAATACCTTATTCCAAATTCTCTTTAGTCATGTATGTCCTGCCAAACAGTTGGAAGTGAGTCCGGTGTGGTCCAGAAAATCCGTGAAGATCTTGCAGAAAAAACAGAAGAACTGAAGAGAAAAGCTGAAGAAATATCTAAGCTTACCACAAAAGTAAGTATAATTTTAACTGTTTTGGTGAACGTTAGGGTTCTTTTCTTTTTACATCTGTAATTATGGTGCATTATTTTTCATATGTTGGCCGTGTACCCTTTTCAGCTGTTAGATGTAGAAATTAAATTCATTTTTCCAGTTTATTAAAGAAAGGAACAGTATTGTCCGTACTTGCATGCACACTGAGAACATATGAAATCACATACATAAGTGTTATGCATGAAAGTAATTTTATCTTAAATAATACCATCAAAACGTGAAGAGGTGTTATGGTTCATTTAGTTTCCATAAATAAAGATATTTTAGAGGCTGTTTTATTGCATATCTTATATAATTTTGTGCATGGTCGATGAGATTAGCTCAGCATATATAAATGAAGGGTTATGGGTCATTTAGTTTCCATAAATAAAGATATTTTAGAGGCTGTTTTATTGCATATCTTATATAAGTTTGTGCATGGTCGATGAGATTAGCTCAGCATGTATAAATGAAGGGTTATGGGTAATTTGGACCCAAGACAATATCTTTTACCTTTGGTACTAACAAGGTGCAAGGAGTTGTAGTTTGTTTCGGAAAGAGTTCCATATGGCACCCCCACCCAAAAATTGTAGAATTGCCTGGATAAAAAAGATTCTGAAAAGGGTTTATTTAAGGGGCGTATTAGAAAAATTGGGGCATGGCTTTGACAAGCATTTGTGTGAATACATGTGGAGAACATTATATTCTGATAAAAGTAGCCTTTTTGATGCCTTTGTACAAGACATTTGGAAAGTTTATCCCCAAGAAGATTGTACATCTAATTAATGAAGTAAGTGGTATAATAATGTATTAAAATTACATTACTATTAATATGATTTATTAATACATAAATATTACTTTGATGAATTTTTTTAAAATTGAGTGGGGGTGCCATATGGAACTCTTATCTTTGTTTCCATTGCAAAAGTTAACGATTTAATGCTTTTAAAAGAATCTCGGTTATCGATCGTACAAGTTGTTGTCACGTATTGCTCTTCAAATAATTAAGACTAAACTCAGATTTAAAATAGTTAACTTTAGGTTGTTTTGTTGTAAAATACTTTATATCAAAGTACTGTAATAATAAAAACCTATGTTTCATATTCTGGCTTAAGTATATTGACCAGTTAAAACGTGACTACCTATAGAGCATAATTATTATATCTTCAGGTATCTGTACAAGAAGCAGAGTTAGCTGCCCTGAAAGAGGAGAGGGACCATCTTGCAGATGATATTGGGAACACCCACATGGGAAAAGATGAGGTGGTGAAGAAGGCATGGGAAGTAAGGGACAAGGCAGTAGCAAGGTGACTTTCTTGTTATTAATTGTGTTTTAGCTTGGTAATTATAATTTCATATAAAATAGGTTCATATGCATAATATTACTGTACGATAGAATCCACTTTTTACATGAGCTGTAAGTATCAGCTTAAGTTGTTTTATGATGAAAATAGAAAACCCTATAACCCGAGCACTTTCGAAAAGGTGGACCTTTCTTCATCAGAAAAACTTCCCCAGTTTGCTCCTGATGAAAATAAAGTCCACCTTTTGAAATTGCTTAGGTTATAGGGTTTTCTATTTTCTCTTAAATTGATTTTTTTGAACCTATGTATTTTCCTGACATTATAGTGTGACAGACATTAAATTGTTTTGTCATTTCAAATGACAACTTTAATACAACTAGCATTTATAATTTAACCCTAAAATTACCAGCCTTTTAAACACATTTTTTTCTAAACTATATATTTATCAAATTGATTGTGGGTCCATTTAGTTTACCCTGAACTAACATTTCAGTAGTGTAGATGTGTGTGTGTGTTTCTATCTGTGTAGAATGCCATTTATAACTAGGGTGTGCGAGTTTTTATTTTAATTGATAAACACTGGTTTTACCACCCCCCAAATATAGTGTGTAGTGCTTTTCCAATAAACACTGGAAATGGTTATTCAGTTTACTTTACATTAACATCCCCCACTTTCCAGTCACTGATAAGTTTGTTTTTATAACTTCATATAAAATATTAGCTGCTCTTACAAAGCTTTACATAACTAGAAGTATGTTTTGTACCTTTTATCACTCCCATGTGAAATATTAGTATACTCATTATAGTATTAAAATGCAAAAAACTCTGAAAAAACACACCAATTTTAAGATCCACCTGACTATCAAGATAGAAATATAATTATTTTTTCTGTTTGAATTCACAATAAATAAAAATAAAAGTATTAAATCTTGCCATTCTAAAAGAAATCATTTGGGTATATATTACATCTGTATTTTAGGATAAAAAAACACAATTAAATATTAGAATAATTTAATAGGAAAATGCATTTAAAAATTTTTATTCCCACGTGGGCTCGTATGACTTAATAGGACTTTCAAGCATCATCACTAACTGACCAACTAGCATTTTTTTATGTTCTGACCCATGTGATTTATGGAAAGCTTCACTGGAACAGTCTACAGTAAACTTGTAATTAAAATATTGTTATGTACTCTCTTTACCTGTATTACGCCAGTTAAAGAATGGAGTATTTAAAAGTACTGCCAATCTTACTGTGATATATTTTTTTAAACGTTTTTACAGTAATGCTTTGCAAGCCTCCATGTGATATTTTAGCCTATTGACTGCAGCTGCTCTAAAATGTACGGAACTTTTGCGAGCTGTACAGCATATACGGTACCCTCGCATTCAACTGCTGAAGGTAGATTGTACCCTATAAGGTAAATCAGCAGTCAATGGTTAATATTTCACAAAAAATTATGTATTTAAATGTCATACATTACAATAGTAAAAGGTTATCAGTTCAGCATTCCACATATGCTATATTTAGGTTTTTGTCTTGTTTTTTTCTAAACAGGAAAAATGCTGTAGAAATTGAGCTGGCTAAGACACGGATAGATGTAATGCAGATTAACAGCCAGTTGATGGAAGCCATTCAGCAAAAGGTGGAATTGTCTCAGCAGCTAGAACAATGGCAGGTAAGAATAACACAACCAAATGATACAGTTTCTTTTGGGATAAATACTCGTAACTAGGGCCGCATTAAGGTCTAGTGCAGCCCACGACTCCACGTGATCGCTCGGCCCTCTTTATTGGTAACTGGATCTGGGGGGGAGATTACAGAATTAAATAAAAACATAATTCATCAAAGTTTTGTTACCGCTTTCGTTTGATGTTTATTAAATTTGAAGGCCTAGGCCTATGCGAAAATGCGGCCTTGCTCATAACTACAAATGGCTTGATTTAGTAAAGATTACAAACATCTGTTAATAAGGTATTTTTTACTGAAAACTTGTTTGATTGATTTATATTCTACAAAGAGAAATATCAACAAAAATGACACTAATAATGAGAGAAATTAAGATATGAAAGTACAAGTCACAGTTAAATAACTATTTATAGCAAATTTTAAAAACTCTTCTGGTAGGTTGACATGCAGTCGTTACTTAACGAACAGCTTAAAGCAAAACTACAAAACCAGGAGCAAGAGGAGAAAGCAAGTTCACAAACATTATCATCAAATTCACGGCAGAAGCGAGGTAAGGGCAAACTGTTCAGACTGTGGAGGTGACCTCGACTACCTTGCTGTACATAAATTAAGACATTTCTTTATACATGTGTACATAGTGTTTGAATGCAACCAGTGTGTGTAAGTCACGCATACCTGGATTGTAAATACTGCTATTCACACTCCACTCATTATATTTGCTATCCAAAAATTAAAAACCTTAAATCGGACTTCTAATTAAGCTATGTTCACCTCAGTTTATCAGATCAACAAGCATTTTACAGGTACTTGTTCCGAGATTGTGGTTTGTTAAAATGATGAAACTGTATCGCAATTTACCACTTCATTTGAAGTTTTAAATACAATGAAGCCTAATACTTTTCCTTTACATTAGGTGTTAGTAACTTTGTGTTATGAATACTTGTTAAAGCAGAAATTAGTACATTCGAGGTATGATTACATGAGAAGCCAGTACCTGTGTATTGTGAATATTTTGCATAAGCATAAGAAACTAGTACCTGGAAATTTTGAATACCTGCTACGTAAGAAGCTATCGTCTGTGAGTTGTGAATATGTATTACATAAAAAAAACACATTAAAACCTGGAAGTTGTGAATATCTTGCATAAAGAAGCTGGTACTTCCAAGTTGTGAATACCTGTTACTTAAGAGCTAAGTATTTCCGAGTTATGAATACGTATTATATTCAAGGTATAGATCCTTGCCACAGCAGAAGTTAATATCCGAGTTGGGAATGTTTGTAATATTGGAAGCTATATTTTGAAAATCCTGAATATCTGTTAAATCAGATGATAGTGTACACAAAAGGTGTGAATGTTTATTATATCAATAACAAGTACCATCCCATGTTACAGCCTATTTCATCAAAAAACTAATATATTTATGTTATGAGTTATTGTTACATCAGAAGCTACTGTTGTGAAAACTTGTTACATCAAAAAGTAGTACCTTTAAGTTCTGAATATTAGTAAATTTAAAGTTAAGACCATTGCTTGGCATACTGAAATATTTCTAAATTTAACTAATAATATTGGAAATATTTGTAAACCTGGGAACTAATAGATCAGTTTTTAACTGAAAACTTAAATCATTCATTACATCTCGGTAATGAAATTTTGTCTGTGATGAAACCGAAACCTTTGTTTGTTTGTTTTTTGTACAATTGTTTTATCCAGTTAAAGCTGGTTATGGTTAAGACTTGTTAAATGGAAGATAATATTGTTATGTATATACAAATAACGTTAAAAAATCCCAATATGACATTTCTAACATTCCTTTCATGTTTAACAAATGACGACAAAGTTACTAAATATGCCATTAAAAAAAGCAGATGATAAATCTTATATTTACCATTTTACTAATGTACAATTTTGAAAGTTAGCCTACAATATTATCCAAGTATTTTTGACCAGTTGGTAATATTAAAATTCCGACCACAGAAATATACAGAACACCTAGTGATTGTTATTATTACATAATCTACTTACTGGTATTCTGGTCCATTCACGACACGTAACAAACAAGTCTGGTACAGCAGAAACATTGTTTAGAAGATTAAGTTGTTAAGAAATAATAATTAATCGAGAACTTACAGTTTCTCTGTAGAGATTGCACTGTTTCTCAGTTGTGTAGATTACCATAACCAACACATTACAGAGCTATTAATAACTACATTTTGTTAAAAATGTCTTACTTTTTTCATTGTTAGTAAACTAGAACTTGTTGTTAATACAATTTTGTGATTAACTTCACGTTATATATCAGACACGACAACACATACTGTTATAGTGCCTTTAACATTTTCTGTATATCTTAGAAATACCATATCAAAAAGAAATGTGATGACATAGTTCAGTTTGCTAATTGAATGCTATACTGTTACTTTCATCCAACATATTATTAAAACGTAATTGGTTTACAGATGTTGTAATAATTTGGTAAGATAGTATATCGTGAAAAATAAGTTCTTGTTTATCGGATACGACTCCAAATGTAATAGTTTAGCAAGAGACTATCATAAACTGTTTTTATTTATCAGATATGTGGTTGCAAGAGTTAAGTTTAATGCTGTGTGGACATTATTTGTTCTATGATACGTTAGATGTTAAAAAGTACGTAGTTTTTCAAGGTTAGAAAAAATTTAAGTTTATCAAAATTGTTAATACAACCATTTAAAGAAATAAACATTTGAATATAAACTTGCTTATTTTCTATTTCTCTATAAACAAGACCTCAACATTAGAAACGTCTGGAATGACAATTTTAAACTAAGCTTTGGCAGAGCAGTACTAATTATTTTGTTTTCAATAACACAGTTTTTCATCCACTGTGATAACAGTTTAGTAATAATAATATGTTGAACATTTTCCTAAATTTATTTATTCCATTGTATTATTAAATGCCTTGCCTCTACTAATGTGTGTGGTTCACAATATTAAACTTTTTTTGAACTGATAAATTCCCATTGTTGGTTTTTAACATTGTAACACTACTATCATATTTACAAGACATTTTTCAGTATTAAATGTTTTACATATAAATTAATATTATAATCCAGGCACCTTTGCATAAGGACCATATGTTTTAACATTGCAACTGTCAGTACCTGACTTGTGACCTGTAGAATTTTGGACTTATTATCACTGAAAAATAAAAGTAAGATTTCAAGAATGAAATGTTTATTGCCTAGTAGTCTTAAAACGGACTTCTAAATCAGTATGTTCTTGAAAACACTTCAGTGAAATATACGGAACCAACTATAAAATACTAAACCAAGTTTCAGAACAAGGGCTATTGCTACATTCAGAACTAAATATTAGAGAACGGTAACATACATCATAAATGTATGTCACTATTTTTAAAATTTTCTGTCAGTATAACTGTTATAAAAAAAATGATAATAATATTTTTTTTCTGTAACCTGTCACATTTGAAAACTTTGAAATATGAGATAATAGTATTTGATTAGTGCAAGAAGTATCTCTGGTAATACCTTTTATTTCAGTTGTATGTGTGGTGATTCATATGACAAATATTAAAGTAACTATACATCACAATTAACCTTCATTAATGTCAAGGACGTAGTAATGAAAATGATGCAAATCAACTTTAGAATAGACTCAGTTTCATGTACCCCCATTTAGGTGGTAATAGAAAATGAAGGATCCAATAGACTCAGTTTCACATATCCCCATTTAGGTGGTAATAGAAAATGAAGGATCCAATAGACTCAGTTTCACATACCCCCATTTAGGTGGTAATAGAAAATGAAGGATCCAATAGACTCAGTTTCACGTACCCCCATTTAGGTGGTAATAGAAAATGAAGGATCCAATAGACTCAGTTTCACGTACCCCCATTTAGGTGGTAATACAAAATGAAGGATCCAATAGACTCAGTTTCACATACCCCCATTTAGGTGGTAATAGAAAATGAAGCAAGCTACATCTAGTAAAAATTACTGTAAGCAACAAAGTCAATAAGTGAAAAGAAACTCCAGGACTGGGGCTTGATCCCAGGACCTCTGGCTGTTCGAGTATTTATGCCTACTTACCACAAATTAATGACCTCTATACATGTAGATTTGTGGAGTTATCTCATGGAAAATTTAGTTACTTATTCAAAGATAATGTATAATATAACACAATATATAAATCATTCCTCTATGTAACACAACAAGTAAGCTTGGCTTATCTCAAAGATACTCTAGGCTTATCTCAAAGATACTCTAGGCTTATCTCAAAGATACTCTAGGCTTATCTCAAAGATACTCTCAATATGAATGTTTGTTGTAGCTCGTCTTGAATTTACTGATAATAAAGTTGTGCCTGATTAAAACTTTAAACGTACAATTTTATTTATACCTTTAGTAAATATGAAAATGGTTCCAAACATTGCAACTTAGGTTTGGAATTTCCTGATACTGTAGTGTTTGACTAATCCTGAATGCTAGAAAAACACCTACAGTGCTCTGGCATGTTGAAGTATTATGGTCTGTCTAAATGTTTGACTTCAGTAACCCTAACACAAAACAATACTGTTTGGTGGACATAGTTCATCATTTCTTTATTGTTAAGGTACAGTTCTAACTTTCTTTCCCTAACATTTACTTTAAGCACTATTTTAGCTACTAAATGTTTAAAAAATCGTACATACTAGCTCATAATTTGTCATACATTAATGGTAGTTTGCCTGAATAATTAGTATTACAATAGCATACAATGTCATATACACTTAAATTATCCAATAAATAATTGACAGAGTGGGTCTTTTTTTTTTTTTGTAAATATTCCCAGAGAGATGATGTACAAAAGTGTTCGGATTTGCAGCTAGAATAAAAAATTGATTTTGAAGTTATTTTTCAGATTTATGTTAGGCCTAACTTGAACAAAGTGGTACTTTCAATGTATATAATTAATACATGAAATCTTCGATACTTGGTGAAACTCCATAATTAAAGAATTGAGGAAAACAAAGACAAGTTTACACAAATATTTCATTTATTGCTACCATGGGTTTGCCAGTAGGAATCATCATTGTATGTAAGTGAAACATTTAAAACATTAGAGATATTCTACTTGCTGCTTATAAGACTTCACCAACCTCTAACTTTTCTTGCTAAGAACATCAGATATCTTTAATTTAAAAAACATCTGTACAACCCCTGTTTATTGTACATGTGATATACATATTGCAAACTGTTAACACCCTACTAATAATTATTACTTTAAACAGAAACGTATAAAAACGGGAGTAGAAAATACTCCATCAGTTCTATACATTTACAGTATCAGTGATCTTACTTTTACAATACCTCTTAACTGTGATGAGTTTGGGGAAATATTGCCTTAACCTTTCACCTTAGGATCCTCCTAGAGAAATCAACACTTTTCTTGATCCTTGATGTTTAGAAACTCTAAAACAGCATCCAAAAACTGTTCTGGCCTTTCTGAATGAACCCAGTGGCCAGCTTCCTTAATGTATAATATCTTAGCCTTTGGAAACAGTTTATGTATTTCTTCATGATCTCCTTTCCTACAAAACAAGATAATTCATTGTAAGTTCTACTTATAAAGTTTGATATGGATCATTTAAATACTCATCTATTTAATACCGAACTAAAAATAACTTAATTCTTTGAAACTGTGTACATTGAAGGACGTCATAAAACTCTGACAATAGAAAAAAATAAAAACAGATGGTGTGTAATTTCCTGTTGAAAAGAGTGATGTAAATGTATTTAAAGCAGAGCTACATGAAGCAAGCACTAATATTTTGTAACGTACAGGTATAGTAGCTTAGCCGCTATAAACAGTAAAATAAGTTTCACTTTTGATTTAATTTTTGTTTTGAAACTTAGCCTTAAGATGGTTCAGTAGTGTCTGACTTAGACACTCATCATAATTGAGTGGATTATTATACATCACTTGACTCCCATTATAGGAACAGAGAAAAAGAAAAATTACAGAATTGAGGGGGGGGGGATATAGTTGTACGTTTCACAAAAAGTTAATTTATTAATGATCGTGGTTTCACCAGTAAAGGCATCAGGCATGAAACATACAATTGTCTTTGGTTTTTTTTCCCTCAAGTATCAATTATAAAAAAATTATCAGATTTAATTTCTTCTGTAGTTAAAATATATGATTAACACGTATTATTGTACTACATGATGTAATTATTGTTAGTTGTATAAAGAAATGTTAAAATTGCTGCTAGTCACATGAGAACATCAGGAGAGTTTGTCAACATTTGTTTTCATCAGTATCATAACCTTATAAAGACAACAGTATTTCAACTCCTCAGCTATAAACAGAGCCACACATTGGTGCGTGCAAAAAGATGGAAAATCTGGCTCTCCTACAGAAAGCTGGAATGCCCCTTGTTTTCCAGTCATGTAAACAATGTATTTAATCCTTACCTGACATAGTTAGATTTTTCCCCACAAATGAATAAAGTATCTCCATTGTAACAGTCACTAAACTCTGGAAATGTTAGAAGATCTGTAGAAAGCTTTCTTTCCAAAGCATCCAGGTTGACTCGCCAAGTGATCTCCTTTTCACTTTCTATCACGTTGGTGAGTATGAACTGCCGAACCCAAAAATCCTAATAGAAAATGTACTGCTATCATTACGGACCTCAAGAAGACTATATAGTTAACAGTGGGTAGCAATAAATATCTTCTATAAAGGTGCTTATTGTGGTCTGAGTTGTAGGGGAACCAGAAAAGAAAGATACTTTGATGAACCTAGCCTATATAATTTGATATTGGACTACATGCCTTGTACTTAATATTTTAAGCACATTTTTATGTTTCAGCATTGCCAAATATTACCAGTTTTCTTTATGTTAATTTAATTTTTAAAATAAAGGAAAAAGAAATTTATTACTCGAAGAACTGATTCAGTAGGGTCTTTAAAAATTAACAGCCAGCGATGAAAATCGTCTCCTGATTTTGAGTTAGAATCAAATCTCTAAGTGATCCAGATGTCATAATCTAATCCTCCACAAAGATACAATTCAGAAGTGATTCTTTTTCTTAATTCAAAAGTTTTATAAATATTTGTGTAAAATGACTGAGAACAAATTTACCCATCCTTGTGTCTTGGGATGAGCTCTCAAAACAGTTGAAATACATTTATGACAAATGTTTATGGTTTTTCTACGTAATCTTACATAACAACACAAAGTCCATCATACCAACTAACTATATGGATTACTGAATTACTAGTCACTATCAATTTCATAATTTATACGACAGTTAAAATCAAACAGTTTTTAACTAATTGTTACTTCTTTTTTTTTAAAGTCTAACAAAGTAATACTTTTGATGAAATGTATAATAAGATGTGAAAAAGTTGTTATTAACATACTGTCATGACGTAAAAGACTGTTTAGTTTAGATATTATTGATTAATTTTGTGGGTGAATATTTTATTATTGTTATAATAACTAAACAGATAATTGTAGGAAGTTGTGTTTATAATTCATTGATGTTCAGACTATCAAACATTTCGTGCAATACACTGACATCGAGAATATAGAGATTTCTAGAAGGCGGGTGGATGATTAAGTGATACAGTTATAAATAGTGTGAAACAAGTGGAAACAGCAGACAGACAATAACTGAAAAGAGTAAAGTTACAGGCAAGGAAAAGTTTGGCGTGAAGTTAACTGCCATAGAAGTGATGGGCCAAATATATTATAGTAAGACTAACAATAGAAAAGGAGATAAGAAGAATTTATTCCTTCAAAGCATGGTTCTAAACTAATTGAATCAGCCTGATTGCACTTTGACAAAAAGAACAGAGAATATTTATAAGAAAGAAGGCCAAACGATTACGGTAACTCGTGCCACAATTGTAAGTGAATCACACACAGAATACTGGTGCGATAGTAAAAGAGAAAATAGTATGGCATGTCAACTGAAATTCTAAAGT